TGCTGCCCCCGATGCCTTAGATGAGTTTCCACTATCTTATGCTTGGCACCGCCCTGTGACGATCCCCCCAATGTCGGCGCCCAGCCTGTCCTGCGCGCCCAGCCAGGTGCAGGGCCGCGACGAGCCGCAGGCTCCTTTGGAGTAGGCGTGCTGTCGCCCAGGAATGCAGCTGCTGCGGCGGCCACTGCTGGTCCTCTGGGTCGATGTCTCTCAGCAGGTTGCCCCGCAAATCGCTGATGCTTCTGCTGCAAGGATTGGGATCACCTGGAATATTTCTCTTCTTCTGTTCAGGCGGTGGCGCAATTTGATCAGGTCTGGGTGACTTGGGCTGGCTTGAAGAATTCGCAGATGGAGATAGAACTATATGTTTACCTGTTTTCGACTGAGGAGGAGGTGCCTTTGGCGTTGCCCCTGCGGGTGCCCACGGCTGAATACGCATGGGCCCTCTGCCAGGGTTAAGTACCTGCAAGTCACCAGGCCTATTGAGTGCCATGTTCTTGATATTGGCCTTCCTTTTGCAGCCCAAATCAGAACAGTCAACTGCGACCCTTCTTGCTGTAGGGTTTTTATCCAGACGATCCTTGGTCCGTGGTAAACGGCTGTCCTGCCGCGTTCGAGAATCGTATTTTCTGTGACCCTGTCACCGGGCTCTATGTCTGCATCGACGTCGTGAGCGCGGTCCGTGACCGAGGCGAGGTCCGTGTCGGAGTGATCCGAGTCGGGCCCTGGAGCGGCCCCCACCGTAGGGTCTACTGCCCCAGCAAGGACCTGGCTGCCTGCGGCTTCATCGCTTTCTGGCTGGCCGGCATCCTCTTGCCCGGGCGAGGCGGGCCCCCCCCCGCGCCACTCGCGATTCAATATTTTCAGGTAATGATTGGGGGCAAGATTCTCCCATCCCTCTTCGGTGCGAACTCTTTCATGGTCTTCGACTGGCTGATAATCCATTCTCGCCAACTGCTCTCTGAAGGGGTATTTGGGCGGATCTGCGACGCGACCCCGACCGTCGCCGCGAGACCAGACCATTTTTTTGTGGTTTTCCTCTCTCTCTCTATCTTTGTTTTCTGTTGTTATTTATTTGTTGTTTTTTGTTCTTTTTTTGGCTTCCAAAATTAGGGCCCCTCGATGGGCCCCCCGCGGGGCCCCGCGGTCGGCGCGGGCAGAATGCGCGCAGACAAACCGTCGGGAAGTCTCCCGTTCTTCGACGATGGCCCGCTTGAAGTCCCGCTTTTGAAGAGACTCCTGCGATTTGACGCCCCCCCCCCTCGCGGGAGCGAACGATCTTGCCTTTTTCATCTCGCCCAACACTGCGAATGGAACACCAGTGGCGAATTCTGTGCTCGGGCCAATCTTGGCCCGGCCAGCATTGCATCGTCTCGGGGGGCATGCGTTGACGAGCTAATCCGCGAGCACCTTAGCTGAAAGAGGCGCTGCACCTCGCCTTCTGGATATTCTTCTGGGCGATCCCCCCCCTGAAGCAGGTTTCCCCGCGGGCGCCCCCGCCTTGGTGGAGCGCCGGGTCTGGCGCCCCCCCTTGGCGGGGCCCTTGGGGCCCTCGTGCCGGGAGGGTGGGGGCGCTGATTGCCGCTGGAGCGAGCGCCGCTGGGGCGCGCGCGCGCGCGAATGTCCAGCTTCGCGCTCGTCGTCATCATCGCCCGAGCGGTTCGCGCGTCTCCAGACTCGGCGGCTTGTCGATCGCCCCCGGCGGCCTGGGGACAGCCTCATGGCCGCGAATGTAATCTGACGTTCTTCGTCGCGTCCAAGCACGCGCTGAATGCGTTCCGACAGGTCGCCAGCATCTCCAGGATTTCCCCGCAAAAGACCATGCTCAAATACTTCTATGTCTGTCGGATTGCCAGTTGCCTGAGGATACAGCATCATTTGAATCCCCTCGTCGGTCGCAGGAAATGGCTTCTGAATCCGCGGGTGCCCCCGCCATATCTTGATCTATTTCGGCGGGCATGTGGAAATTCTCTACACATTCGGCATGCGCAGGTTGCCCCGCGACGGGCATGCCTAGCCAGTCTGCCAGGTTGGTCTCATTGTGGCCAGTGAGCATCTCCTCGAAGAGCTCGTCGGCGCAATTCTCGAGGGACATACTGGCACTCAAATATCTGGCAGCCATGTAGTAAACAACTGTCACTGAGCTGTCGGCAGGGTCGGTTAATAACGTTTCCCAATCGACATTCTATATGTCCGAGTCGGTCTGAGCCAAATGCATCGACGGGCCCCTGCCCCCCCCCCATCGCCCCGAGGGCATTCGCGGCGAAACTGTTGTGTATTATGTCAGATGTCACATTTTATTGTTTTCGCGTTAGCGTCTTTCGGGTTGCCCCAACGCCCCTTGCCTTTTTTCCTGAAGTGCGCCTGCGATTTCTGCCTGCGCCCAGATATAATTCTTCATCTTGCGGTCCAGTAAGGGATGCTGGGAAAGCTAACGTACCTCTGCCATGCAGCCGCCGTCGTTTGCCCTTGCCCTTGCCTCGACCCCTCCACCTTGCCCCCATAAGTGCAGGTCGGACAATACGTCGTACCTTACGAACTGGCTTCTTCATAAATCGTCTCCATCTACGTTTATGCTTCTGATATCCTGGAAACAGCCGTCGGGCCTGTTGTTCTTCCGTAAGATACGTGGGCATGTCGGAGTAGTCTAAGGCGTTCGCTTCGTCGTCTGATGACGTGTCGGTGTCGGTCCAGAGCCGAAGTCGGACTCAACGGGTTGCACCCTTGAGCCTACAAGGGTAGTGGGTTGTGTAGGAGCCGCCGTTGCCAGCGGCCCCTGATACTGGGCCCAGGAGTCTTGCGACCCCGCGGCCGAACCACCATTTTGAGCTAACAGCGTGGTGGTTTCCGTTGGTTGTTGATCGTCGTCCCAGACGTTCGTAGCAGGTTGCCCTGCATTGGCTTCAGCATGGAAGATTTCGGCGCGGCGACCGTGGCTGAATATACCACCAATATTGCCAGGAGTTCGCTCAGCGATGTGAGCATATAACCCCGCGCGTTCAAGCAGAGAGTCAAATTGCTGCTGATCCCTCGGCATGTGGCGGTTAAGTGGCTGTAGAAGTCGTTGTGCGCGCGACGCCCCCACTCCTAAGACTCTGAACAGAATAGCCGTTAGAATTTTGACGCTGGGGATGTTCATCCCTGCAGTTTCAGCCTCATAGCGGGCTATCTCGAAGCGGAAGCGCGCCAATGTCTGGTCGATCCGTTCTCCCGCATGGACTCGAAAGTCGATGGGAGCAGTGCCCGAGTTGATGTGGCGTTCCTCTTCTAGGTTCTCAAACTTCGCGCTCAGGAGGAACATAATGTAGGTGGCACCATCAATATGGCGGCCACCTATGTTGACGCAAAAAAAAAATGACTGCTGGGGGAACTCTCATGGCTATGGTCCGTGCGAGGCCTCCCAGACCACGCTGCAATGCTGCAGCTTGTTGGGAGGGCGTGATATTGCCTGTGGCCACGTTGATCCAGGCATGTACCCCTCGAGCGAATTCGCGGATAGGTACTTCATCGGCCGGGTCCCAGGGGGGGCCGTTGTCCTTGTGTCGTCTCCGCCAAGAATGTGTCCCACAACGCACCCGATAGCAACCCATAGGCGACCAAAGATAGCAACACCAATCCAGTGGCCCCGTAGGTCGTGGTCAGATGTGGTGGGCTGAGGTTTGTGGTGTTTTGTTGTAAGCCTGCGTGGGGGTGGGCGCGGCACAATATCGTATCGCATGTTGGCATGCGTGGCATCGTCGAAGAAATTTCCTATTGGAGTAGGTGAGTGAACTTCAGGAGTGTAATAGCGCAGAGGTGTAGGACTCGAGAAAGAGGCCTCTGCGAGAGCAGAGGTAGCATTTCAAGTGTCCTCCCGGTTGTGCGTAGTTATGTACATTCGTCCGTGCAGACCCACTCCACCCTGATGGTCCGCCACCTCAGTAATCCACAAGATAGTGCCGTGGATGGTGATGAGTAGAGCGAGAACTGACCACCATAGGCCAGCTCCGCTACCAAGTTTGAAAGGGGGCTGGTAGGCCCGTCCAGAAGCTTCGCCTTAGGCGAAGCACAGCTCCAGCCCTGTTGTACCGTAGTAACCATAGTCCGAGTAGTAGAAGGTCGCCGCGGGAGCGACGGGCCATCTCAAGCGAAGGCTGTTTTCGGTCTCGATGGCGAATCGTATACCTCGCACTGAGGTATAGTCAGATATAGGCGGCCGGCCGCTTGAGCACAAACGGCCGCGGACAAACGCTCGTTACCTCTCGCCCTTGTCCCAGCTCACTTTAAAATCAAGACGCCTCCAAAACGGCCCCAAGAGGGTGCCCAGACGAGGGACCAGAACGGACATTTCGAGCCCTCGGCCCCGAGAGGCTCCCAGGAGGAACCAAGAGGCCCTAAGAGGCCCCCAAGAGGCCCACAAGAGGCCCCAAAGGGCCCCCAAGAGGCCCCCCCAGGAAACCTCGAGTCCCCCACGAGGTTCCCAAGAGGCCCCCAAAATGCTCTCAAGAGGCCCCTTAACTGTCCGCCAGAGGCCCCCTAGAACGCTTCGAAGAGAACCCCAAGAAGCATTCATGAGGACTCTGACCCACGTCAGCGTCGTCGTCGTCGTCGCCGCCGCCGCCGCAGTTGTCGTCGTTCCCCTTCAAGGCTGGCGGCGCCGGCCGTAAGGTCTTCGGCATGAAACGAATAGAAAAATAATCCAGAATAGTCCGCAGAGCATGAAAAATCATCCTCCGACGACTTTCAAATTATTTGTTTGAATACTCTTCCTGCAGACCCAGACCCCGACGCCATGAATGTTGCATGACGTGGACCCCCCAAGGTATGGACCCATTCCCCGGGACCGGTTTTTCGTCCTGAGCCCTTTTCTCACGGCCCCGAGGGCCGGGAAGGGCCCCCAGAAGCCGAACACCGCGACAAACTCCCCGTCGTGATTCCCCCAGACAGCCCGCGGGACTCTGGGGAGGGACATGCCCAACTTGAGACTCGGGACGCGCGCCGCCACCCCGAAGCCGCGGCGCCTGCGCGGGCCTCCTGGCGGCCAGGCCCTCGGCGGCCCCCTGCGCCGGCGGCCCGCCGGGGCCTCGCGAGCGCCGCGGCCCGGGTGGAGAAGCCGCGCTGGCGCCGCCCTCGCGGCATCCCTGGGGGCCGCAGCGCCCCCGCTCGGAGCAGGGGCCGTCCCCCGGGCACTCCGCGGAGCCGGGCGCGGTGCGGGCGGAGTCGGGCGCGGTGCAGGCGGAGCTGGCCTCCTCCGGGGGAGGGGGCGGCCAGGCCCCCAAGTTTTTTTGTTATTGTTCCCAACCCTCCTTGGTTGGGTACTCGCTTTTCCCAACCCTCCTTGGCTGGGTATTCGTTTTGAATAGAGCAGTGTGGTCTCCACTCCTTCCTCCTCCTCCCTCCCTCCCTGCCTCTTCCTGTCTTGCCTGCGGGGGGCTGCGATCTGTGAAACTGTCGCCATTTTCGAGGCCTGCCGGGGGGCCCAGCGCAGTGAGGGCGACGCGCAGATTCAAATTAGACCTCGCCATCCCTGGGGGGGCTGCGATCTGTGAAACTGTCGCCATTTTCAAGGCCTGCTGGGGGGGCCCTGCACAGCGAGGGCGACGGGCGGATTCAAATTAGACCTCGCCATCCCTGGGGGGCTGCGATCTGTGAAACTGTCGCCATTTTCGAGGCCTGCTCGGGGGCCCAGCGCAGTGAGGGCGACGCGCAGATTCAAATTAGACCTCGCCATCCCTGGGGGGCTGCGATCTGTGAAACTGTCGCCATTTTCGAGGCCTGCTGGGGGGGGCCCTGCACAGTGAGGGCGACGGGCGGATTCAAATTAAAACTCGCCATCCCTGGGGGGCTGCGATCTGTGAAACTGCCGCCATTTTCGAGGCCTGCTGGGGGGGCCCTGCACAGTGAGGGCGACGGGCGACCCCAAACTAAAACTCGCCATCCCTGGGGGGCTGCGATCTGTGAAACTGCCGCCATTTTCGGGGCCTGCTAGGGGGCCCAGCACAGTGAGGGCCACGGGCAGATTCAAATGAGACCTCGCCATCCCTGGGGGGGCTGCGATCTGTGAAACTGTCGCCATTTTCGAGGCCTGCCGGGGGGCTCAGCGCAGTGAGGGCGACGCGCAGATTCAAATTTGACCTCGCCATCCCTGGGGGGGTGCGATCTGTGAAACTGTCGCAATTTTCGAGGCCTGCTGGGGTGCCCAGCACAGTGAGGGCCACGCGCAGATTCAAATGAGACCTCGCCATCCCTGGGGGGGTGCGATCTGTGAAACTGTCGCCACTTTCGAGGCCTGCTGGGGGGCCCAGCACAGTGACGCCACGGGCAGATTCAAATTAGACCTCGCCATCCCGCCATCCCTGGGGGGCTGCGATCTGTGAAACTGTCGCCATTTTCGAGGCCTGCTGGGGGGCCCAGCGCAGTGAGGGCCACGCGCAGATTCAAATTAGACCTCGCCATCTCTGGGGAGGCTGCGATCTGTGAAACTGTCGCTACTCTCGAGGCCTGCTGGGGGGCCCTGCACAGTTACGCCACGGGCATATTCAAACGAGACCTCGCCATCCCTTGGGGGCTGCGATCTGTGAACCTGCCGCCACTTTCGAGGCCTGCTGGGGGGCCCAGCGCTGTGACGCCACGGGCAGATTCAAATGAGACCTCGCCATCCCCTGGAGGCTGCGATCTGTGAAACTGTCGCCACTTTCGAGGCCTGCTGGGGGGCCCAGCATAGTAACGCCACGCGCGGACCCAAATTAGACCTCGCCATCCCTGCGGGGCTGCGATCTGTAACACTGTCGCCACTTTCGAGGCCTGCTGTGATCCCCGTTTTCGAAGTGGCTAGGAGTGCTCAGGAATTGTAACTCATCAGCTTTATCAAGCCCTTTTCCTGTAGCCAGTGTCCTGCGAGTCTCCCGAATTCCGTCTGCAGACATATGTAACCCTCGCTCCGTCATCGCCCCCTTATAAAGTATCCTAAACTATTTGCGCCCTGCTTTTGCGCAGGGGTTGGGTTACGTCGCCAGGGTAATGAATAGAGCAGTGTGGTCTCCACTCCTTCCTTCCTCCTCCTCCCTCCCTCCCTGCCTCTTCCTGTCTTGCCTGCGGGGGGCTGCGATCTGTGAAGCTGTCGCCATTTTCGAGGCCCGCTGGGGGGCCCAGCAAAGTGAGGGCGACGCGCAGATTCAAATTAGACCTCGCCATCCCTGGGGGGGGTGCGATCTGTGAAACTGCAGCCATTTTCGAGGCCTGCTGGGGGGCCCAGCGCAGTGAGGGCGACGCGCAGATTCAAATTAGACCTCGCCATCCCTGGGGGGGCTGCGATCTGTGAAACTGTCGCCATTTTCGAAGCCTGCTGGGGGGCTCAGCACAGTGAGGGCCACGCGCAGATTCAAATGAGACCTCGCCATCCCTGGGGGGGTGCGATCTGTGAAACTGTCGCCATTTTCGAGGCCTGCTGGGGGGCCCAGCACAGTGAGGGCGACGCGCAGATTCAAATTAGACCTCGCCATCCCTGGGGGGCTGCGATCTGTGAAACTACCGCCATTTTCGAAGCCTGCTGGGGGGCCCAGCACAGTGAGGGCCACGCGCGGATTCAAATGAGACCTCGCCATCCCTGGGGGGCTGCGATCTGTGAAACTACCGCCATTTTCGAAGCCTGCTGGGGGGCCCAGCACAGTGAGGGCCACGCGCGGATTCAAATGAGACCTCGCCATCTCTGGGGGGGGCTGCGATCTGTGAAACTGTCGCCACGTTCGAGGCCTGCTGGGGGGGCCGGGCCCTGCACAGTGAGGGCGACGGGCGACCCCAAATTAGACCTCGCCATCCCTGGGGGGCTGCGGCCTGTGAAACTGTCGCCACTTTCGAGGCCTGCTGGGGGGCCCAGCACAGTGACGCCACCGGGCGGGCCCAAATTAGACGTCGCCATCCCTGGGGGGCTGCGATCTGTGAAACTGTCGCCACTTTCGAGGCCTGCTGGGGGGCCCAGCACAGTGAGGCGACGCGCAGACCCAAATTCTAGACGCTTCGCGTATCCCCACCAGCCCGTCCAGAAATGAGTCCCAGGGGAGTGGAGGTTATGAGGGAAGCGGGGGAGCATGCAGAAGAACAAAGGGCGGGGTGAGCCGCCATATACCCCAAGAGGGGGAGGATGTAGGAGGAGCCGTCGTCGTCGGAGTAGGAGGAGGAAGAGGAGGAGCAGGAGGAGGAGCAGGAGGAGGAGGAGGAGGAATAGAAGGAGGAGGAGATGGAGGACTGCGAGGACGAGGAGGACGAGAAGGAGGAAAAGGAGAAGGAGGAGGAGGAGGAGGAGGAGGAGGAGGAGGGGGAGGGGGAGGAGGGAGGAGGAAGAAAAAGAGGAGGAGGAGGAGGAGGACAATTGCGAACTTGGGGGCCTCTTGGGCCGTCCTTGGGGCCTCTTGGCGGTCCCGGGGGCCTCTTGCGTATCTCGGGGAGCCTCTTGTGGCCTCTTGGGGGTCTCTTGGGGGCCTCTTGGAGGCCTCTTGGGGGCCTCTTGGGGCCTCTTGGGGCCCTCTTGGGGCGCTCTTGGGGCGCTCTTGGGAGCCTTCGAGGCGCTCTTGGGGCCATCTTGGAGGAGATCTATCAAAGAAGGGGGGGTCCCCAATTAGCGCTGCCCCTCTAGAGTGCCTCGAGTCGCCTCTTGGGCCCCCCCAAGAAGCCAAAATCCTTCCAAAACCTATGTAAAATCAATGTTTTTTGTTTTCTCTCCTTTTCGCTCTTGGACCCGTCTTGGGAGCCTCTTGGGGCCTCTTGGGGGTCTCTTGGCAACGTCTTGGAGGCTTCTTGGGGGCCTCTTGGGGCCTCTTGGGGCGCTCTCGGGGCGCTCTTGGGAGCCTTCGGGGCGCTCTTGGGGCCATCTTGCAGGAGATCGATCAGAGAAGAGGGGGTCCCCAATTAGCGTTGCCCCTCTAGAGTGCCTCGAGTCGCCTCTTGGGCGCCCCAAGATGCCAAAATCCTTCCAAAACCTAGGTAAAATCAATGTTTGTTGCTTTCTCGCCTTTTCGCTCTTGGAGCCGTCTTGGGTCATCTTGGACTCTCTTGGGGCCTCTTGGGGGTCTCTTGGCAACGTCTTGGAGGCTTCTTGGGGGCCTCTTGGGGTCTCTTGGGGCCCTCTTGAGGCGCTCTTGGGGCGCTCTTGGGAGCCTTCGGGGCGCTCTTTGGGCCATCTTGGAGGAGATCTATCAAAGAAGGGGGGGTTGCTTATTAGCCCCGCCCCTCCAGAGTGCCTCGAGTCGCCTCTTGGGCCCCCCCAAGATGCCCAAATCCTTCCAAAACCTAGGTAAAATCAATGTTTTGTGTTTTCTCGCCTGTTCGCTCTTGGAGCTGTCTTGGGCCATCTTGGACGCTCTGACACCTCGCGACCGGCCCCGTCCAGGTCAGTGGGGAGGGGTAAGGGGAGGGGTAAACCCCTCCCCGAAGGGGAAGAAGGGGGTTGGCAGAGGAAACTCCCTAGACCACCTACGCCCTAAAGGGCTGGTGGGATTAAACCTCGCCGTCCTCTGGGGGGCTGCGATCTGTGAAACTGTCGCCACTTTCGAGGCCTGCTGGGGGGCCCAGCACAGTGATGCCACGCGCGGACCCAACTTAGACCTCGCCATCCCTGGGGAGCTGCGATCTGCGAAACTGTCGCCACTTTCGAGGCTGGCTGGGGGGCCCAGCACAGTGACGCCACGCGCGGACCCAAATTAGACCTCGCCATCCCTGGGGGGCTGCGATCTGCGAAACTGTCGCCACTTTCGAGACCTGCTGGTGGGTCCTGCGGGGTGAGGCACCGCGCTGACCTGAGCGTGACCTCGCCATCTCTGGGGGCTGCGATCTGCGAAACAGTCGCCACTTTCGAGGGCTGCTGGTGGGTCTTGCGGGGTGAGGCACCGCGCGGACCTGAGCTGGACCTCGCCGTCCCTGGGGGGCTGCGATCTGCGAAACTGTCGCCACTTTCGATGGCTGCTGGTGGGCCCTGCGGGGTGAGGCACCGCGCGGACCTGAGCGGTACCTCGCCGTCCCTGGGGGGATGCGATCTGCGAAATTCTCGCCACTTTCGAGCTGCTGGTGGGCCCTGCGGGGTGAGGCACCGCGCGGACCTGGGCGGGACCTCGCCGTCCCTGGGGGGCTGCGATCTGCGAAACCGTCGCCACTTTCGACGCCTGCTGGTGGGTCCTGCGGGGTGAGGCACCGCGCTGGCCTGAGCGGGACCTCGCCGTCCCTGGGGGGATGCGATCTGCGAGATGTCGCCACTTTC